TTTTCGTTGGCTAGTTCTCTCTAGTTTCTAGTTGCTTACGTTTTCAAGTTGAGAGCAGAAAACTGGATATTTTGTTATATAATATCTAAGAAGATACCTTTTGGCAAATTTCATTCAATTCTACTTTTAGAGAATTCTATTTTGTTTTTAAGTTAACGGAGGGACTGCCAGACGTGGGACGGAATATAATGACAATAGTTCACACTCTCAATTAAATATAATGGATGAACAGACTGAGCTTACCAATATCTTTGTTTTTTACGGCAGGAGATATATTGAGAATAGCGTTCATTACGAGAAAAACAAAATTTGCTAACAGTTTTTTTTAGCAAACCTTGTTTTTTAAAAATAATGGTAGCAATGAACTTAAGTTTACAAAAAAAAAAAAAAAATGAATGCCGTAATTCTGTTTTTCTCTTTTGGAATAGCTAAGTCAATTAGTCTTTTTAACAGACCAGTTTGTCGAGTTTGTTGAACACATACTTAGACTATGAAAAGAAGTAAGGGGAGATCACTATTGGAACATGAATTAAGTTGTGTCTGTTCGTCTTGTGGTGTACGTTTGTATATGAAAATGTGGGACGTTATATTGTCAATCAACTTATTTTCGCGAGCAATTTTTTTCATGACTTTCGCGAGTAGAAACATAGCGCGAATATAAATCGTTGGGAATATGTAAAACCTGGATCTTTCCTTATTTAAGAAAATTTGAAAATAACGGAATTTAATCAGCGTAAAATGGGCTTGTAATGGCTAAACGCGAAAAAAAGTATCCGCGAAAATATGTTGGTTTACAGTATCAAAACAGAACCAGAAGCATTTTATACTGCTTTATTGATGAGTGATGCAAAACATTTACAAATTTCGACTCAAGTTGTATACTACACATGGTGGTTTGTATTAAAACGTAAAAAAGCATGATTCTTTTTTTATTTGTGTTAGTTTGAAACAAGTATATTTAGAAGATTTTTTTGCAATTCAGACGTAGCTTCGTCATAAAGTACTCAGCCACCCATGGCACCGAGTAAGTGATAGTCTCAAAATGTTCAAGTTTAGTTCGCGTATTGATTGCTAAGATTTTCAAATTATTTTGATAAAGTCGTTCATTTTTATACTTTGTAATACTTTTGATTTTTCCTCCTCCTTGGGAAAAAGTATAAAAAAGGCTACCTTTTTTTCAACATGTATGTGTACACCTATGATGGTATATTCTAAATCATTCGGAACTTTCTCTCTAGTTGTTGTATCTGAACATGAAATCCTATTTCATTTTACCTCATTATTTTCTAATTGCCAAAGCAAAATAGGCACAACTTTTTGGAATTTGTGGTTTTTTAAGCAGTGCTTGTCAACTTCTTTAGGCCTCCCAACTATTTTGATTCCAGCGCCACTTATGAATCGTATGTTGACGAAATGCCCGCCTGGCTTACCAACTTTTAAGCCTAATATCCTTACTGGGGTAAACATACGAAATGTTTTGTAATGTATAAGGGGCCTAAGCATTTAAACATGTCCTGTAGTTTTCAATTCAATATTTATGGTAAATACACGGTTTAACCCGAACCTAGACTTATATCCTATTATTTGCCTAACTGAAACTAAAAAAATGTAAATCATCTCTCACAAGTAACTTAATACACATTTTAAGTCCCTAGAACTATTAAACACAAACAATTTGGCGATTACGGAATAAATGAATTGAAAAGTGTATAAACACATACGCACAGAACTTTACAGCAAGGTTTGCGAGGAAACAATATATATTTCATAATCTTTTTTTAAATATTAGTAAATTATTGTGACTGTAACTTGGAAGTCGACAATTTGTTATTTTGATAAACTAGTACATTGTAATTAATAAATACAAACTTTTTGAACAAGTTAACTATACAAAATTGTCTAAAAAGTTATAGTATCCAGCGCAAAAGGTTTTGGCATAAAATATCTCAGCTTTATTTTAAATAACAAATCCGAAATAATTAAACAATATTATTAGACCTTAACATATTGCATATCAATCTGGTTCAGGTTAAGTTTTCTTTAAGGCTGTTGACAGTCGCTACTTCCCGTTATATAATTGACAGTAAAAATTATTTCCACCTCTTTTAAACATATCTATTATCATGTTAATCATTGGGCTCCATGTATCGGCTTTAAAAAAACAGTGGTCTTATTCAAATTTCATTAACATTTTATTTTGCATGTAATATGTACAACTGGTCTTTATAATCAATAGTCCGTAATAAGTTGCATTAGGTCATTTGAAAAATGTCAATTACTTCTGTCTCATATGACACACAATCGATGTTTTGTTATCTGAAACATCTAGATGATTATTAACAACGACTTACACCACAATAATAACATTTTGTTTTTTATATTTACTACTACAAGTGCATATTTTTGTATGAAAAAGAGGCGAACGATTCCAAAGGGTGATTAAAAACTCATCAGTCGAAGAAAAACAAACAATGGCAAGGCAAAACACGGAAAAAAAGGAAAGACGAACAAGTCCACAAAACACTGAACAGCGGTATTCTACTGTTGCCTTTATATAGAAAAAACAAGAATGAGCAACACGAACCTCACCAACGAAATGGGGTTGAAATCATGTGCTCCTTAAGGGTGGATAATTTCAGCGCCACATGTTTATCACCCGCCAGAATATAATTGTTATACGTTTAGTTATCCACAGTTGACTTGCTAACAATATTCACTTATATTGTTTTCTTCTTGATCAATAATTATATCCCGTGCATATTATGCAAACATAGTTTATTATAGTATCTGTGTTGTTTAACAGATAAACGGCTCTAACATTCGGTATGTTAACTTGAATTTTGAGTTTTACTTCGAAATGCTTAAAAATGAAATATTTCCAACTTTCCAGAACATTTAAACAATCAAACGTCAGTTGACAAACCATCTGACTCATGATGTATTATAATTTATTTGGAATCATGCCTACGGCACTTAAAGTAATGTCACCATCTAAATCCACTTATAACATCAATAATCATATTGTATAAAATTGGCAACATTTGAATTATCGAATGAATTAGTAATAATGTTCCCCACCATTCCGTTCTGTTTTAGAATTATTTTTGGCTTTTGACATTGAATAATTCTAGGCGAAAACAACTTTACTCTTAGTAGCTTACCTTCATTTTTAAAATGTGTATGTTTGAATAGTATTTAGTTTATTGTATGTGTGATTTACACAAAATCTTTGAAAATAAAAAAGGAAAATTGGAAAAAATGTCAAACTATTATAAGAATGCAATAGAAAGATAGGATATAAATGATGGTTTGGGAGGAATGATTTCTAATTCATTATGATGATGTGATTTAGAATAAGTTTGAATATAATTTTTAAATGTTGTTAACTATTACTGAATTGTTTCTTTTTATTTACCATAGATCGTTTATAGGTAAAACTTAATAGTTGATGCCCACGATATATATATATATTTTGAGAATAGAAAATATCTACCAGTTTTCAAATGAGAAATCCGATTTTTGAATAGATTGCAAGCCCGGAAATTGTTGCATACAATCTTATCCAGCTAAAGCTTTCTTAATTGATTTAAGACCTTCATTTAAAATCAAAATTGTAATATCTGCAAACTATGATATATGATATAACTCGATGTGCCGTTTCTTTCGGTGTTGTTCTTATTCAATTCATCTTTTTGATCTCAAGGAACTAAATTGATCACTTTTTATAATGTTTTATTTCTGGTTTCAAATTTAATAAACTTTGTTAATTTTTTTTTTACAATATTGCGCACAGCGGTAGTCATTAACGGTTTCTGACTTTAGATATTTTTCTAAAAAGAAAGTATATATATAAAAAAAAAGTGGTATGATTGCCAATGAGACAACTCTTCACAAGAGACCAAATATCAGTGACTGCTTTATCAAGTGTTCCTATTACTCTACCTTTCTTCAGCAGAACTTTTAGCATTCCAGAATTTGTCAAATCGAGACGAAGACTACTTTCCTTTTCGCATCATATCTTCATATTTAATATGTCTATGATTAAATAGTATTTAGCTATTTTGATGTGGGATTTACATTTATTTAACTTGTGAATAACGACAGTATACCATTCATGTTCGTGCACTTCAACTCTTTCGCGGAGGAACTTTGAATATGGTTACATTTATATTTTATGACTGCAACATTGTTCTACACGTAGCTGCTGAAAACGGAAGATGAAAACTGGATATAGCAAAAACAATGTCAATATAATATGCACCTCGTTCTCTTCTGTACTTAAGGTTTAAAAACCAAAGATACAGTAATATATCAAAAGAAAAATAATGTTAAAGTATACACAAATGCTGATCTATATAAAAATTAGAAGATGTGATTTGATTCCCAATGAAATAACTTTCCATCTGGTATCAAACGACGTAGATAAGGCAATTTGTTTGTTTCTGCTATATACTTTTGACAGCTTAAGTTTCATCTTATCTTATTTATATTGCCTTCACTGATAACTCTGTCTTGAAGTCTGGCCGTAATGATACCGACTCTCATTATATGAGTGTTACCAAGGTTTTGTTGTTCCATTGGTTTGTTGGTGAATAACATGTTTTATACCACGTTTAGTGATAGTAGCCACATCAAGGCGACCAGTATCATGTTGGTGGAGAGAGCTGGAGTAACCATAGAAAACCACCAAGCTTCGGTTCGGAAACTGGGAATCTTTGTCAATTTAGACGAGTGTTGAAAACACCTCACCATGACCATGTTTTGTTTACTTAAGTTACAAAACTAGATTAATACAAATGTACTGTTTCAAAAGAAATGCACTGTATTAAAACATGTTAAGTGAACATGATTTTATTTTATAAAGTATAAATTACATTATTGTGTCATTTGCCTTATTTTATTGAAATATCAACATGAATTATTGCCTACAACGTGATCAGATTCGTACATGCTTCTTCATTTTCTTTTAGTTTCTGAACATCGTAGCATTTCTTTTTTAGGATGGGAACACGCCATTTGAAATAGCTGCAGAAAAAGGACGACTCAAAATAGCAAAATTGTTATTAGAAAGAACAACTATAGATCCAAAAAAAGTGTATAAGGTATGGAATGTACCACTTAAGAGGATTTTCAAATGTTGCGTGGTCAACCTAAACAATTGTCAGCCTTAATCTACATACAAGTACCCACTAACAACTAATTTTTAAACCTCAAAGGGAAACAATCGCACAATATTCACAAGGAATGCACAGTCACACACATTGTGTGACTCCGTTACTGTTGGGCAATGGCGGTTTTATGAAGAAAAATACACATTCAATTGGATATTCGAGTGAGGTGGAATCAAATTGCATCAGCAATCAAACTCGATACCCACAAATTGTTGACAACAACGTATACACGTAACTTATATTCATGTATTACAAAACCGAGTTTATTATTTATTGTATTTATTTAATCTGTTACATACCTGTAATAAATTTTTTTTTTAACAGAATATTGGTAAGAACTGTAAATATTTCATCTGTTTATTTCAGGATGGGAACACTGTTTTACACAAAGCTGCAAGACGTGGAGAACTCGAAAAGGTCAAACTGTTACTAGAAACATCAAATATAGATCCCAATCAAGAGAATAAGGTATGAAGTATGAGGAAAAAGTATGTCTAGGTGTTGTCTACTTGCACTGTGTCATATGGTTTGTTTATTAAATCGTCTCAGAATATTTTTCATAAGAGATGTATCAATCTTTTCTAAGTTTTTACGATAACACAGGTGCAATTAAATTGTATAACAAAATTAAAGTTATGCATAAGTCTATGGATCTCCATACCATCTCGGATCACCTGCGTTTACCCCCGGTATTTGTATTTGTTTCGTGTTGCTTAGTCCTAAGTTTCTATAAAATGTTTTGTAAACGGTCTTTTTTTCTTTAGTTTATGCCATTGTGTTGTCAGCCTGTCTTCTACTTATGGTTTTTGGTTGTTCTTTTGGTATCCTTTGAAAAACTATTTGAGATCTTTTTTTTCAACTTTAAATCCTCTGTTACATAAACCCACAGAGTCCACGTATTATAACACTCTCATTACCGGGTGGAAATTAAAATGAGAAAAAAAAAGCAAATCAAATCATATTAATCATTCCAAGTGTATTTATCTATACATCATTAATTTAATCGTGTAATGCGTATTTATATTTTTAACTTTAATAACAATTATTTTCGTACTTTTGCTATTCTAATTACTATTACAAATTAAGCCTATTAAGTTGAAAGGAGATCTATTATTTATGTGAACAATATAGTAGACTATTACAAAGCGGGTGTTGTGTACATAATTGTACAATAGTGGTAGATGATGTGGTCATTACAATAACTTGACCAGGTAAAATATTATGTATCTACCAAAGTCAAAATCATAACAGAAAGGGCTTCATTTTTCGTACTTTGTTCAAAAGATTAGAGTCCTATTATTTTATCAGGTCAATTTATGCAGGCGTTCATAAAGCTTAATCGGCAACATTGAACTATTCAGTTTCTTCTATCTGTTTATATATTTAATCAATAGTAATCAAGTCCTAGTTATCGTTTACTGTATTTATTCCACAAGAATTAAACTGTGCATAATATAAAACTAAGGAAGTTAATATTTTTATAACATGTGGCCACTTATATTTACCAAATGCTTCTGCTTAAACAAGAACGTATAACGAAAACGTCTGCTTGAATAAGAATATAAAAAGTAGGTTTGTCAAATTGTTCGTCTAGTGAGGTAAAACAGTATTTACCTATTGCTTTCTATTGGTGATGTTTCTGAATTCATAATACTGTACAAGCTATTCAACTGTTTTGATTTTATAAGTCCTTTAAATTGATAATGCCTATCCATCCTCTTTCATCCGCAAACAACATACCTTGAGCTTTTGTTTGTTTTTTCCGTCCCTGAAAAGGACAATTCTAAATATGCGTAAGTTTTTTTTTTATATGTATATCTGGAATGCCTCTTAGTTCAAGTTTATACACAATCAAAGACAACAAATGTAGATTTAAAAGTTTTTCCATAAATGAGAGATATCTTGATTTTTAAACCTCTATGCAACGTTTTATGTTGTTATGTGTTATTTAACCAAATTTGACCCAACTCTGCCCCATATCAGTGCTGAACCAATACTGCTATTACAAGTCGCGGGTTCCTTTTAATATTGTTAAATTTTGTTTCGTATTGCGCCACCCCCCTAATAACTGCCCAAAGTTTTTTTGTCAGAAATTCATTCTAGCTCCTGAACATGCTAAAGCCTTTTTATTTGTATTTATTCAAATATTTCTTTGATTGACACTTTCTTTTTTTATCAAAGAGTTGAGTATCAACAGGATCATCGGTTTTAGTAGGAAAATGTATTCTGTCTATGTTAATGATTCTGCTTGCAGTATAATTATATAACATAGAAGCAAAAGCGGAACCTTGACGAATTCACCGGTTTAAGTCGAAAGAATTATAGAATATGCATATAACATTACATAGTTAAACATGTAAGTTGTTCAGTCGGACATGATTTATTTGAACGTTTGTTTTGCTTTTATTTTTCCTTTTTGTAATTGTTCAAATGAATATATATAATAAGTTCTCATACAAGAAACAATATACGATAACTATGTATATACCTCTATGTTAGATGTATAAACAGATTTGTAAAAATGACGTATTAATTATTGAAAATTGTGGCAAATGGCTGTTCAATGCAAAGTATACGGGATCAGATTTACTTTGTACTGCTCGCAATGTTCTGGTTTTTTTTAGCGATTTGCAGTCAAAACTATATTATTCGTTTTGGTAAACAATCGAATTAACATCAGCCCTTCTCCTTGATGGTTTTATAATATCACCAAGCATACAACTTCCCATTGTAAATTGAATATTTACATAATTTGACAAAATCAAACAATGAACGTTTGTACATTTTAACATTTCCGAGATATATGTTTAATTGTTTATCCTTCTTCATGGCAAACAGAACAGTTTGGCCAATTAATTGGAAAGTGTATGCACACCACTTTACAGCAATACAATATATTTCTCAACATGTTGTTAACAGATAATAGTGACTGTAACTAGCAAGTGATTAATATTTTCATTTTCTGATTAATCTAAATTGAACAAAAATATATATACTTCTTTGAATAAGTTTGCATTTACTTTAAATACTTTCTCGTTACATGTTTCATTAATAAGTGCATTTAAATCCAAATTACAATAAACAAAACGAGGTATAGTGTTCAGTACAAATTTTTGGCATCAAACATCTGAGCTATATTTATAATTACAAATTCAAACTACTTGTTTAAACAGGATATTAACCTCTTACTGATGATGATGATGAATGACTGCTTAACGTCCAGAGGCAAATTAATTTGCATATTTAAGACGAGAACATGTTAATGTAATATGAATATTAACCCTGCTTTGCATGAGACCGAAACGGTGAGCCGGATTTTCAACGTGCAAGTTCACAAGGTAACAATCCGCAAGAAGACATATCACCTAACCAGGACACATTATTCTTACTCCTTAATGCCGCCTGCTTAGCGGAGAAGCAGCAAATACCAATTTTTAAGTCTTTGGTTTGACCCAGACGGGATTTAAACCCACAACCTCTCGCACTCGAATCAAACACACTGCCACGAGACCACCGAGGCGGTATCCTAAGCATGATGCATACCAATCTAATTCATGTAAAGTTTTCTTAAAAGGCTGTTGACTTTGATCTATAAACTCGGACGTATCATCGGCAAACAATATCACTTAGAATCATGTCAAATTGGGTAGGAAAAAAACTGAAAACACTATATCAGAAGATGAAATGAAAAAAAATAAAAAACTTCTCCCACTGAATAAGTAAAAAGTCACCCTCCCGACGAAAAAGTTTCCACAACACTACACAATAACACTTAAGAATAGAAAACAACACGGACAACACCAAAAAAAAGGGGGTGACAATTTATCTCAGGAATGGATACACCATAGCTGTTATATATAAAAGAATACACGACAACCAGGGGATAACGTATATGTTAGGCATCACTTTATTTCGCATTACATAAATCAAGCCTTAATACAACCAACGTGATAAATCCGTTTTAAAAGGAAGTATATATATAAAAAAGAAGATGTGGTATGATTCCCAATGAGACAACTCTTCACAAGAGACCTAATATCAGTAAATGCTTTATCAAGTGTTCCTATTACTCTACCTTTCTTCAGCAGAACTTTTAGCATTCCAGAATTTGTCAAATCAAGACGACGATAACTTTACTTTTCACATCATATCTTCGTATATAATATGTCTATGAATAAATAGTATTTTGCTATTTCGATGTGGGATTTACATTTATTTAACTTGTGAATAACGACAGTATACCATTCATGTTCGTGCACTTCAACGCTTTCGCGGAGGAACTTTGAATATGGTAAAATTTATATTTTATGACTGCAACATTATTCTACACGTAGCTGCTCAAAACGGAAGATGACAACTGGATATAGCAAAAACAATGTTGTCAATATAATATGCACCTCGTTCCCTTCTGTACTTAAGGTTTGAAAAACAGAAGATACAGTTATATATCAAAAGAAAAATAATGTTAAAATATACACACATGCTAATCTATATTAGAATTAGAAGATGTGATATGATTCTCAATGAAATAACTTTCCACCTGGTATCAAATGACGTAGATAAGGCAATTTGTTTGTTTCTGCTATATACTTTCGACAGCTTAAGTTTCATCTTATCCTATTTATATTGCCTTCACTGATAATTCTTTCTTGAGGTCTGGCCGTAATGATACCAACAATATGAGTGTTACCAAAGTTTTGTTGGTTCATTAGTTTTTTGGTGAATAACATGTTTAATACCACGTTTAGTGATAGTAGCCATATCAAGGCGACCAGTATTATTTAGTGGAGAGAGCTGGACTTAACAAAGACAACCACCGACCTTCGGTTGGGAAACTTGCAATCTTTGTCAATTTAGACGAGAGGGGAAAACACTTCACAATGACCATGTTTTGTGTACAGAAGTTACAAAATTAGATTAATACAAAAGAAATGCAATGTATTAAAACATGTTAAGTGAACATGATTTTATTTTATATATTCTGAATTAAATGATTGTGTCATTTGCCTTATTTTATTGAAATATCAAAATGAATTATTGCCTACAACATTATTCAGATAAGATTCGTACATGTTTCTTCATTTTCTTTTAGTTCTCTGAACATCGTAGCATTTCTTTTTTAGGATGGGAACACTCCATTTGACATAGCTGTAGAAAGAGAACATTTCAAAATAGTAAAATTGTTATTAGAAAGAACAACTATAGATCCAAAAAAATTATATAAGGTATGGATTGTACCACTTAAGAGGATTGTCAAACGTTGCGTGGTCGACCTAAACAATTGTCAGCCTTAATTTACATATTAGTACACACTTACAACTAATCTTTAAACCTCAAAGGGAAACAGACGTACAATATTCACAACAAATTCAAAGTCATCTACAGTGTGTAATTCAGTTGCTGTTTGGCATGGTGGTTTTATGAAGAAAAATACACATTCAATTGGATATTCGAGTGAGGTGGAATCAAATTTAATCAGCAATCAAACTCGATACCCACAAATTGTTGACACGTAACTTATATTCATGTATTACAAAACTGAGTTTATTATTTAATGAATTGATTTAATCTCTTACATACCTGTAATAAAATTTAATTTTCTAACAGAATATTGGTAAGAACTGTAAATATTTTAACGGTGTATTTCAGGATGGGAACACTGTTTTACACAAAGCTGCAAGACGTGGAGAACTCAAAATGGTCAAACTGTTACTCGAAACATCAAATATAGATCCCAATCAAGAGGATAAGGTATGAAGTATGAGGAATAAAGTATGTTTTGTCTACTTGCACTGTGTCATATGGTTTGTTTATTAAATCGTCTCAGAATATTTTTCATAACAGATGTACCAATCTTTTCTAAGTTTTTACGATAACACAGGTGCAATTAGATTTTATAATAAAAGGAAAAGTTATGCTTAAGTGTGTGGATCTCCATACCATCCCGGATCACCTGCAATTACCCCCGGTATTTTTATTTGTTTCGTGTTGCTGTGTCCTAAGTTTATATGCAATGTTTTGTAAACGGTTTTTTTTCGTTAGTTTATGACATTGTGTTGTCAGTTTGTCTTCTACTTATGGTTTTTGGTTGTTCCTTTGGTATCTTTTGAAAAACTATTTGAGATCCTTTTGTTTCAACTTTAAATCCTCTGTTACGTAAACCCACAGGGTCCACGTATTATAACACTCTCATTACCGTGTGGAAATTAAAACGAGAAAGAAAAAGCAAATCATATTATATTGATCATTCCAAGTGTATTTATCTATACATCATTAATTCAATCGTGTTATGCGTATTTATATTTTTAACTTTAATAACAATTATGTTCGTACTTTTGCTATTCTAACTACTATTACAAATTAAGCCTATTAAGTTGAAAGGAGATGTATTATTTATGTGAACAATATAGTAGACATATTACATAGCGGGTGTTGTGTACATAATTGTACAATAGTGGTAGATGATGTGGTCATTACAATAACTTGACCAGGCAAAATATTATGTTTCTACCAAAGTCAAAATCATAACAGAAAGGGCTTCATTTTTCGTACTTTGTTCAAAAGATTAGAGTCCTATTATTTTATCAGGTCAATTTGTGCAGGCGTTCATAAAGCATAATCGGCAACATTGAACTATTCAGTTTCTTCTATCTGTTTATATATGTAATCATTAGTATTCAAGTCCTAGTTATCTTTTACTTTATTTATTCCACAAGAATTAAACTGTGCATAATATAAAACTAAGGATGTTAATATTAGTATAACCTATGGCCACTTATATTTGCCAAATGCTTCTGCTTGAACAAGAACGTATAACAAAAACGTCTGCTTGAACAAGAATACAAAAAGTAGGTTTGTCAAATTGTTCGTCTAGTGAAGTAAAACAGTATTTACCTATTGCTTTCTATTGGTGATGTTTCTGAATTCATAATACTGTACAAGCTATTCAACTGTTTTGATTTTATAAGTCCCTTAAATTGATAATGCCTATCCATCCTCTTACATCGGTAAACAACATACCTTGAGCTTTTGTTTGTTTTTTCCGTCTCTGAAAAGGACAACTCTAAATATGCGTAAGTTGTTTTATATAAATATCTGGAATGCCTCTTAGTTCAAGTTGATACACAATCAAAGACAACAAATGTAGATTTAATAGTTTTTCCATAAATGAGAGATATCTTGATTTTTAAACCTCTATGCAACGTTTTATGTTGTTATGTGTTATTTAACCAAATTTGATCCAAATCTGCCCCATATCAGTGTTGAACCAATACTGCTGTTACAAGTCGCAAGTTCCATTTAATATTGTTGAATTATGTTTCGTATTGCGCCACCTCCCTAATAACTGCCCAAAGTTTTTTTTGTCAGAAATTCATTCTAGCTCCTGAACACGCTAAAGCCTTTTTATTTGTATTTATTTAAATATTTCTTTGATTGACTCTTTTTTTTTATCAAAGAGTTGAGTATCAACAGGATCATCGGTTTTAGTAGGAAAATGTATTCTTTCTATGTTAATGAATCTGCTTGCAGTATAATTATATAACATAGAAACAAAAGGGGAACCATGACGAATTCACCGGTTTAAGTCGAAAGAATTATACAATATGCATATAACATTACATAGTTAAACATGTAAGTTGTTCAGTCGGACATGATTTATTAAAAAGTTTGTTTTGCTTTTATTTTTCCTTTTTGTAATTGTTCAAATGAACATATATAATTAGTTCTCATACATGAAACAATATACGATATCTATGTATATACCTCTATGTTAGATGTATATACAGATTTGTAAAAATGACGTATTATTTATTGAAAATTGTGGCAATTGGCTGTTCAATGCAAAGTATACGGGATCAGATTTACTTTGTACTGCTCGCAATGTTCTGGTTTTTTTTTTAGCGATTTGCAGTTGAAACTATATTATTTGTTTTGGTCAACAATCGAATCAACAGCACCCTTTCTACTTGATGAATTTATAATATCACCAAGCATACAACTTCCCATTGTAAATTGAATACTTACATAATTTGACAAAACCAAAAAATAAATGTTTGTACATTCTAACATTTCCGAGATACATGTTTAATTGTTCATCCTTCTTCGTACCAAACAGAACAGTTTGGAAAATTCATTGGAAAGTGTATAAAAAAATATGCAAAACACTATACAGCAATAGAATATATTCCTTAACATTTTGTTAACAAATAACAGTGACTGTAACTTGGAAGTGAATAATATTTTTTTCATTTTCTGATTCATTTAAATTGAAAAAAAATATATACTTCTTTGAATAAGTTTGCACTTACTTTCAACACTTTCTTTTTACATGTTTCATTAATAAGTTCATTCAAATCCAAATTACAATGAACAAAACATCTTACAAGTTAAAGTGTTCAGTACAAATTTTTGGCATCAAACATCTCAGCTACATTTAAAATTACAAATTAAAACTACTTGTTTAAACAGGATATTAACCTAAGCATACTGATGATGATGTTGAATGGCTGCTTAACGCCCAGAGGCAAATTAATATGCATAATTAGGACGAGAACATGTTAATGTAATACGAATATTTACTCTGCTTTGCGAAGTCTTTGGTTTGACCCGGCCGGGGTTAAAACCCACGACCTCTCGCATTCAAAGCAAACACGCTGCAACGAGACCACCGAGGCGGTATCCCAAGCATGATGCATACCAAACTTTTTTATGTAAAGTTTTCTTAAAAGGCTGTTGACTTCGAACCATAAACTCGGACGTATCATCGGCAAACATTATCATTTTCAATCATGTCACAGTGGGTGGAAGAAAAACAGAAAACACTATATCAGAAGATGAAATGAAAAAAAAAACAACCTTCTCCCACCGAATAAGTAAAAAGTCACCTCCCGACGAAAAAGGTTCCTCAACACTACACAAAAACGCTTAAGAATATAAAACAACACGGACAACAGTTAAAAAAAGGGCGGTGACAATTTATCTCAGGAATTGATACAGCATAGCTGTTATATATAAAAGAATACACGACAACCAGGGGATAACGTATATGTTAGGCACCACTTTATTTCTCATAACATAAATCAAGCCTAAATACCACCAACGAGATAAATCCGTTTTAGCATTACAAGTAGGTAGCTAACTACGCAATCATGAAAACTATTACCAAATAATTCTATCAAATTCTATAATCCGCTATTGTAATTTTTTTTTTTTTCGATGAACCACAATTGACAGTCATTCACATTTTACGCTTTAGTTAAACATTACAAACGTTTACTCTCAAATGATATAACTACTCAAAGGTCGATTTTTCAAAGTTATAGTTTTAAGATTGTTTGCAAATCAGTGTTAACTTCGTGATAAGACTACCTTTTTTGCCCGGTGGTAGCCATTTCCTATGGTGCAGTTTTTCATAAAAGAAAAAGAAATGTTGATTTCTTTTTCATTGAAAATGTACTTGATGATATATCTTAAGTTACTTTCTTTGATATAGTCCTCAAACTCCTGATTTTGGCATTTAATGAAGTGTTTGAGTGCGTATCCATATTGTAATACTATAATTCTCTCTATTTAGCTTTATTATGGTCGTTTTCACTCACTTTTGAAAATTTGAACTGTGTTTAATATCCACAGAGTTGTAAAGACATTTGGTAATTTAAATTGCATCGTATCTTTCAATTTTTTCGAGGTAAAAAGTCAAAAATTACATTTTTGTAAAGTTTTAAGACCACTCCGGTTCAGTTTTTCAAATAAATTCACAATTTTTTTTACATATTTGTAGTAGACATAATAAATCAGTGAATTTCCTGATCATTTTCTCCACCCGATACGAAGAAAATTTACTTTTTATTGACAAATCGCTTCGGCACTGCAATATACCATTGTTCGTGTTTAGGTCAATCAAATATGAAAGAAGTGATATTTGCGTATCACATGTTTATTGAACAATGTTTTTAAAAGTTTTTGACTGATATATTTTGTCTAAAATATATTTTATGGTTTGTTCACTATAATTTTATCAGCTTTATGAGTCCTTCATCAGCTTCAGTATAACGTAGATGTTTGTCGCGTTTGTACTTTGTGTGCTTGTATAACATACAAGCAGTCCAGTCAACTACAGACATCTTCGAAAGCTAAACGAAACCGTGTTTCAAACATCTGGATTTTTTTAATTAAATATCTGATTTAAGCAAGTAAAACCCGTTCATGTCTAACTGCAAAAGGAACCATAAGACTTTGTAATTGTGTGAATACAAGCAAAGAGGATGTGTACCACCGACTCCATGAAGTTTGTATAGTTCATTTGATGATGGTGGTATAGAAAGGTATCATTATCACAAATTTTGTAACAAATCATACACTAATATGGTCAATTTAGAAAAGTTAACACAGCCTGATATTTTAGATGGTCATGCAGATTCTGTCCATGCCGATGATCAAACATGTTGATTCTAGTCGGTTCTGACCAGAATAATGTCCTTACCTTTTGAATGGACTGCTTGTATTTTCTGCAAGCGCAAATAGTACAAACGCGACAAACATCTACGTTATTCCGAAGCTGATGAAATACTCCGAAAACTAATGATATTATCGGAAAACAAACGAGATTCAGAATTAAAAGTACTCTTTTTTTCACAAGAATTTATTATTAAAACCAATGCCATTCACTACACTACACAATGAGTTTTACAAGAAAGCTTATCATTGCCTGATTTGTGACATCCAGGAAGATTTGCTTGTTCTCAAAAAAC